GGCCGGTTGGTCCCGCGTGCTGCGGATCCAGCTTAAATTCTGGCCCATGTCTACTGGTGCTGAGTGTGTGACGCCGTCTCTGTGGCTCTGCTGTGTCTGCTGTCTGAGCTACAGCATGTTCCAGGCACAGGGAGCAGGGGGAGGGGCCGGGGGAGTGGTTAGGGCCAAAGGGGTGGGGCTATGGCACACACTGGAGGTGGAATCAAAAGGAGGGAAGGAAGGAGGAATGGCTAAATAGGGAAGCACGTGGAATTAATACCGCCTGACCGAGACGTCTAACACTTTTAAAGAAGTGATAGCCAGGGCGTATGTTAATGTTCACATGGTATGATCCAAAGGTAAAAGTTTATGGTTATTTTTATGGTGCATTTGATAGCCATGCATACAGACACTACAATTCTTGAACCAACAAAACAAAGTACAAACTAATTGAAACAGATTTACGGTAACTTATAATTCATAATGGCAAGGACTATGTGACAAAAGGTGATTGTAGTGAAAAAAGTGAACTTCCCGTGCTTTATTAGTGCATCGGTTGCCAAATTAGACTATGTTAAAGACACAGTTGCACCAAAGAGAGAATTCTGAGAATCTTTTCGTGTAATCTCATGTCGTTTCAAACCTGTATGACTTACTTTCTTCTGTGAACAACAAAAGATTATATTTTGAATAACGCTGGTAACCAAACTATTTTGGTTCCCATTAACTTCCATATTTTTTTTGTCCATACACAATGGAAGCCATTGGGAATTGGGAAAGTGCTTAGTTACCAACGTTCTTCAAAATATCTTCTTTTGTGTTGCACAGATGAAAGTCAAACAGGTTTGAAAGGGCATGAGGGAAAGTAAATGGCAGAAATTTATTTTTGGGTGAACTATCCATTTAAAGCATTAAACCCAAAGAAATCTGTAAAAACACTCCTAATCAGAATGTGTAACCAGCAGGAAGTCACATGTCAAGAGTAGGAAGCATGATATCTTCACATTGAGCATCTAGCAAGAGTTACATTTCGAGAGTTGGAATCAGGGACTTGCACTTGCGAAACACGGTGCACTGTCTCCACCCCAAATGCTGAGAACAAAGTAAGCCTGTTGAGTGAGACAGGCTTGGGTGTGAACATCCACAATTTTCAACTGACATCTCATCAGATGTGGACATGCAGTTATGCGTGTTAGACAACTGAAGACAGCCAATCGAGCATTGCAACGAGCATTTTTTTAAACCATGAGAAATCAGCTTACCTACAAACTCTACCTGGAGCTAATTCATTGCCTGAAAGTAATTACATCATCTTTCAGAAACTTGTGCAATCAAGTAGTCTTCACATAAAAGTAGACTTAATTCAGAATAGAAGTTACAACGGTGATGCAAAAATGTCATAAAAATGAAAAATGTGTTATTTTCAATTAATAATTTCAATTTAATTGACTAAAATATTGACTATTCTAGTAGCTTTTTTTTTGTTAGATTGGGCAGGGTTTTTTTTTTTTTCCCCCAGTTCCCAACTTGACAGGTAACATTGTATACATTGGGATCAGGCTGGTATAAAACAAGGCTAATTTTGCATGTTGCTTAAATGAAAGAAACAAATTCTAATCTTCTATATTCTGTGTTATATTATATGATCTACGAATAATTTCATGACTATGAAATATCTTCTTTTGCAAAGTAGTATATTTACAACCTTAGGACTTAATTTTAGGAGATATCAAACCTCTCAGCTCTCGAAGTCACCACCTGACTTGAAATGTTGACTTGCATTCCTGAGGGCTTCATTTCGAATATGAAGCCTTAAATCAACAGCAGCACACTGAAACGCTTCGCATCAATCCTCATGATGTCGATTGAGAAAGAAGCCCAAAGGAACCTGACATTATACATGACATGACTAATTATTTCCAGAGCGCTACTTAGAAAAAACACAAACACTGCAATTAGATAACAGTCACAGTCAAGCGGGGGGGGGATTTCTGAAGGATCATGTGACAATGAAGACTGGAGTAATGATACTGAAAATTCAGCTTTGACATCACAGGAATAAATGACATTTTAAATGTATTCAAACAGAAAACAGTTATTTTAAATTGTAATAATATTAATAATATAATAATTAGGGTTGGGTACCGAAACATGGTACCAATATGGCACTGGTACCTATGTAACCGGTATGTACTAGATCCGAATCAGAACGCAGATTTCGGTGCCATGCCTGAGCGATCGATTGAAATATTTGTCCTCTGGTTCTCCGAAACGGATGTAAGAAGCATCATCACTGGCACAGCACGTGAAAAACTATTTCCCGACTGAGAAAATGCGCGTGAACTCAAGTCGGAAAGCTCTAATAATACAAATCGCGAGTGTCCATGTTGTTTTCACATTCCGACTTAAAGCACAACTCGGGAACTGAGAGCATCCGAGGAGCGCGTGAATGCAGTAATTACACTTGCTCTGATGGCAGCAGGTAGCCTTCCGTTAACTAAGCTAAACATGCTTAAATTAAAATGCCTAAAGCTAAACTTCCCTTGTATTCACATTTCTAAACTTGTTGTCCAACAAAAGAGAACATTATAACCTTTTTACTCCACAACACCAGTCAAATGCTTCCTTTTGTGATCTGATGTGGCTTCTTGTCACAGAATGAGGCAGAAAATATGTTCCATAGGCTA